GTGCTAAGCTCGCTTCCCTCCCCGAGCCCTGCCAGTTTCCAGGCTCCACCCCCAAATCCTCCAGGTATTTCTCATCCCAGGGGTGGCAACCCTACCCATTAAGGCAAGCTCTGAAGAGTCCGGCTTAGGAACCTTTTAAATAGACCTGGATTTTGCAGCTTGCACAGAACACGCAGAACCGATGTGTCTGCCGACTTCACGACCCGGCATAATTCTGCTGGTGACGCGAAGGGGCTAAGCGGAACTACGCAATCCGCCCTCCTCCCCCATCACACCTGCAGGGAACACATCCCTCACCTTACGCAAAGGGGCCCCCGGCGGACTTTGCTTTGCAAGCAGAAAAAATCGGCAGAAAAGCAGCCAAGGCCAAAAGAAGGCGAACACAATCCAAGCAGTGACCCCCCAGAGAAGAGTTCCTTCACTTTCTTGCCAACCTCCCCCCTCCCCCCCCCCACACATCTCCCCCAGCTTCAGCTCTGAGGCACAGCTGGCCCATCCAGCAATGTACAAAGATCACCCACAAAGATCACCCATCCGCTAGGAATCCTCAGCAAAAGCAGCACAGCGGCCACGGCCACTTCGAATTCGTCTGTGTTGTTTTGCCCTCTATTTGAACTTTGACAGACTTGTGTTAAAACAGGAGTGCGGTCCAAGAGGCACAACTAAATGGCTTTACAGTAACCCAACACCCTGGGTTGCATCTGTGTGCTGTGATCAGAACTGCAACGGGAAACCTAACCAGGGCTGAATGCTGCAATTCTGCAGAAGCTCAGGAAAGCTGTCAAATCCAGCCGAGGGAAGGTTATCGAAGTTTATAGCTAGGAAAACTCTTAATGAGACTTGAAGAGAGTTATAGCCCAAAGCTGTTCAAACCCTCCTGGTTGTCACCTGTCCCAAGACGCAGAAAACAGGGCACAGTATTCTTAGTAACTCAGCTTGCAGAAGGACTACGCTGGTGTCCTACAGCCCACATAAGAGACTTGGGAGCATCAAGTACCAAACTATACTATGAAGCAGCCGTACAACACTACTAGACTGTCTAGCTAATGGAAAGGCCAGACTTAAAAGGCTCCGTAGAAAGACCCCATACCTACATTTCAGTTTGGCTGATGGCAGCGACAGACAGCTACAATCCGGGCTGGCGCCCCTTCCCCCTCCTTCCCAGTTCAGTTCCATTGTTCATAGGAAGCGGGGAGGGCAGTTGAGAAACTCACAACAGCCGTCTGTGAATTGTTTTATTTAAACGGACTATTATTGAACTGCTTTGCTTTGATGTGTTTTATCCTGATGTAAATTATTCCTATTGGTCATTGCTCAGAGCCCTGAGTGTTCAGGGATAGAGCAATTCACAAATCAAAATTATAATTAAGATAAATGAAACGCCACAGAAGTCTCCCTTTGGATGTCCCTCCCCTGGCAGGGTCTTCCAGATCCAAAGTTTTCTCTTCATCACCACACCAGATCGCATAGTAAATATCCTTGTACTTTGCCCCTCTGGATCAAATCTAACCTGACCACTTGGGTTACTATCAGGGCTTTTTTTGTAGAAAAAGCTCAGCAGCAACTCATTAGTATAATAGGCCCCACCCAACAGCAGTAACTCATTAGCATATTAGGCCACACCCCATGTTACCAGAAGTGTGCTCATCCAGCCACACCCACCTTCTGCTTCTTATTCTGTTTACCTTGTTTGTTGTCAAAACCCCGGGCTTTTTTGTAGCAGGAACTCCTTTGCATGTTAGGCCACACACCCCTAATGTAGCCAATCCTAATGAGTTCCTGCTGTTGGGTGTGGCCTGTTATGCTAATGAGTCCCTGCTGGGCGTGGTCAACTTGGGAGCCAGCTGGAACTCCGTTCCTGTGCGTTCCTGCCCAAAAATAGCCCTGGTTACTATAGAATAGCAATCTGCACTCAATTGTGGCTTTCTTAAGGTTTGGGGTTGTTGTTTTTTTTGCCACAAACGAATCCTAGGGACCGAGCCAAATGCGGAATTCAGATCCATAAAAGCAATGTATAACTTTCCCCTAGTATAGCGAGTATAGTTTTCGGCTAACTGGTGTAGAATGATACGGTGGTATATGGCTGCTGCTCCCTGCACAAAGACTGCTTACTTCATGCCTATTCAGAGTATACCTAGTCAGCTAACTTATAATACAAGTAGGATGTGTATAGTTTACCGATTACTGGTAGCAAACTAATTGGCCTCTACTTACTTGGGTCCATCTTGAATACAGGAACAATGAGAGCATGCTTCCATGTCTCCGGTATTTTACCCATCACCACAGGGTATGGGACTGACGGAGGCTTAGACTGTCTCCGTCTCAGTCCCCAGCAAATCTGACCTTTCTGCAGGGTTTGGCAAAGGGATCCTTCACCAGAGATCATAAAGCCGAACAGCATAGGGTTGGTGACTGGACAGATCTGTTCTCACCAAAGCAGAAATCCAGAACTTAATACACTCTTCTAGTTCTGATACTTGGAAGAAATATTATCTACAACCTGCAAGGAGATATCATCATTCATAATGGCTTCTTCGTCGCTCGGAAGCCTTATCCAAACACACTGTTATTGATATGAAGGGTTTTCTTCCCATGAAAGCGTGGGAAGCAGATTTCAGTCTGAGGGTCAGGAGAGTTCCTGGGTCGTCTCATCCCATCCCTTAAAACGGGGATGTATAAACATGGAGGAACAAGCCACTACATGAACAAACTACTGGTGCGTTAAGCATACAACACAGTCAGGTTCTGAATTACACTTGAGGAACTGAGAGGAAAATGAAGTGGTCTTGCTACTTCCAGGCCTGGCAGTCACCTGTTTCCCCAGGGCGGGTGGGGTATAAATCAAATAAATAAATAAAAGTATAAAAAGAAATGGAACAGGCTACCCTTTGCCCCTCACATTTTTACAAAATCCCTTCTCTTGTCTAAGAATCCCCAAACCTCTCCAAGAGTTTCTCTTATTCAGGCTAAAGCCCAGACTGTGGATTAACAGAAATTAAAAGGGTTTCCACTTTTACAGAATCACCTTAAGAAATCTGTGGGAAATCACAGCACTTGAAAACTTCTCAACTGCAAAGCATGCTAGAAAGATGTATCCTCTGCTGCTTGCTTCAGAAGGTGGCTTCCTTTATCGTATACTCTGAATCATCGCCACCTGCCCTTTCAAGAAGATCGTCTACATATCTTCAAGCGGGTAGCCCTGTTGGTCTGAAGCAACTGAACAAAATTTGAGTCCAGTGGCACCTTTTAAGACCAACCATGTTTAATTTTGGGTATGAGATTTCATATGCAAGCACATATCTGATGAAGTGTGCATGCATATAGAAAGCTTACACCCAGAATTAAACTTTGTTGGTCTTAAAGGTGCCACTGGACTCAAACTTTGTTCTGTCTAAATATCTGTTTCAGATCTCTGCTGTTATCTTTCCTCATCAGATCTGAATTTCATATAATCACGTCCACCCACTCCCACCAGCTGGTAAAACTGGAGCTCTAGTCCACCAAAGATTACACTGAATAAAACGATGCTAGTCTTAAAGCCTCTACAAGATTCCTTTTATTTCTGGTCCGCTGCATTTCTGCTATTATGACTTTTCTCAAAAGACTCGATTGCAGATACATTTAAATCTTCACCATTCCCCTCCCAGGTTAATAATATTGTCCTCAACACCGGTCCATTTAAACTCCATTGAATTTTTGTTTTGGATTCTTTTAAACAGACTGCAGATCAGCAGCTTAAAACTAAAGCATCACACACACACACACAAGGGATCTCAGGGACTCAGCGCCTGCTGGTGCCACAACACCCCTGTGAATTTTTCAGATGCCACAAGGTTCTTGGGGCCGTGGTAACAGACGCACCCAGCTCTCCTCCTGCACACCAAAGCGTGACCGGGGCCAATGTTCATAGGTTACAAAGAGGTAACGAACACGAAGCTCCTTCTCCCGGGGAAGTGCCCTAATAAAAGCTCAATATTACTATTAGTTATTGCCACATCTAACACGCTCCGCTGCAGGGCCTGGAAATGCCAGAGAGGGAGGGAGATGCCGAAACCTGAGCCCGTCTCCTTGGCCAAAGGTCTCTCAGCGCTTTGCCGTGACCTTGCCCCCTGCAGCAGGGAACCCACCGTCTGGCCCTGACCTGTTCCCCATAGGGACGCCTGAAGCATCTCCCGGCTGCAAGTCAGAGTTGCCAACCTCCCAGATCACACACATACATCATGCATTTATTTACTTAATCAAAACCCGGTCCCACTCCCCCTGGGCTGTCCGGCACTGTCCCCTACCGCGGCCTCCCTCACCCCCTCCCTAAACTGCCCTCTCCCAGGCTGGAGCCTCAAAATCTCCAAGTATTTCCGGACCTGGATCTGGCAGCCTTGGCAGGTAGGGCCAGGGCCCTGCCGAAAGGAGAGCCAGACAGAGCGGGGGAGGAGATGCTGCCCCAGGTGTTTGGGCACCCCGAGCCGGCCCCCCCCCCCCCCCCCCAAGGCACCACACCAGGGGGAGGGAGGAGGTCTCCCCCCGCCCGGCCCCAGGATCCCTCGCAAGGCGGCCGAGGATGCTGCCGCGCCCCCGTGCAAAGCAACGCCACATCCGACTCGTCTGGCTCGGGAAGTGTGATGTCTGGACGCGAGCAATCTTTCACAGGGAGCAACCCCGAGACTGCGCGCGGCGCCCCCGGCCGCTGTTGCGCCCGATCCACAGCGCCGCGTGTCAGCGCCCCTTCCCCGCCCAAGGGCGAAACCGGAGGCGCACCCCCTCCTGCAGCCAGCAGGGCCAACCCTCCCGCGGGAGCCCCGCCGCCTCTTCTTGCGCTTTCGTCCCAACCTCTCCCCCCCCCCACCCCCGATCTACCCCCAGCTCCATCTCTGCGCCGCAGCCGGCGACGCACAAAGAGCGGGCGGGACGCAGCGCAGCCCCCCTGCAAAAACAACAACCCCAACCCCTGCTGCTGCCGCCGCCCCGGCGAGGGCTGTCTCCGCAGGGCCCGGCGCGCCTACCTGGAGCTGCTGGAATTCCTCCTCCAGCTCCCGCCAGTCGCCCCGACACTTCTCCAAGGGCGGCCCCATGCCGGCTCAGCGCGAGCCCCCAGCCGGTCCCGGGCCCACGTGCGCGCCCGGCGTCATCAGCCCCCTTCCCCAAAAAAAAGGGATTTGGGGGACCGGAGCCAGCGAGCGACCCTCCAAGCGGGAGGCTCAGAGGAGGCGCCCTGGGCCGGCAGCCGTCCCCGAGGCAGCCCGGGGAGCGCGCATCCCGCTGGACACCGAGTCCCGCGCACGGGCCTTCCCGACGCGCAGCCCTCCCCCGACGAGATGGGGAGATAGTTATTAATATGATGAGGCTGCCGGGCGAAGGGGCCCACTGCGCGCGCGCGCACACACACACCTCCCCCCCCCTCCCCGGTGCCATCGCCTCTCCTTTGCCATTGGCCGGAGCCGAGGCCAGGCCTCCCTTAGGCCCCGCCCGCCTCCTCCTCCCCTCCTCTCCGCCGAGAGCTCTCGGGAGTTAACCCTTCGTGGAGTGTGTGTGTGTGATGTGGAGGAGCCTTGCAAGCGGTGGCCTCCTCGGCAGCGGGCGAGACGCGACCCCTAACAGGCGTGCCGACGCTTTTCTAAAATGGTGCAAAAAAAAACCCCTGGATAATAGCGTGCGTGTGTTTCTAAGACAAGGCAGGACCAGGAGGGCCGGCCTCCTTCTGGGATTATTCCACCCTGGATCCAGGGCCGGCTCTCTCACTAGGCGAACTAGGCGATTGCCTAGAGCCCGTAGGGGCACCAAATTGCACCCGCCCCGTACTCTGGGAGTTTCTTGATTATTTGTATTTTTCATTCTTCCTAAAATGCATTTATTTTTGAAAATTGGTGGGCGCAGGGGGGGGGGGTCCTTGCCTAGGGGGCAAAATAAGCTGGAGCCGGCCCTGCCTGGATCCAGTTTTATTGCTGCAGAAGCAGCAGGCTAAGGCGGCAGAGAAGGCTTCCCGCCAGCTCAGCCTAGTCTGTAAAGGGCCCCCCTCCTTGCCTCAACAAGGCTGACCTGGACGCTGGGGTCCATCCACCCCCAGGGTGACACCCAGGCTAGACTACTGTCACGCACTGTGCCTTGGGCTCCCCTCGAAACCAAATCGGAAACATCAATGTTCCCGAGGAGTCTTGCGAGCAAAAATTCTACTTCGTGAGCTACTAGCGTTAAAGTTGTGAGCGAGCAATTTGACTGCTGCATAAATCGGTTTGCTCTGGAGCCCTCCCTTCCCGAGCTAAGACAAAAATGTGTGAGCCAGAGGCTAAAAAACTGTGAGCGGGCTCACACTAACTCAGCTTAGAGGGAACGCTGCTCCTGACTGGTCCAGAATGTCTGTAAGTAAGTAAATTTATTACAGTCATTGACCAGTACACAGTAAAAGAAAGTAAAACCCCAAACTTAAAACATTTCTGTTCCCTATACAGGAATATAATATTTGTAAAATACATAAATAAACCACTAATAACCTAAAATATTAAGTGATATAACTTAAATTACTTATAAAACCATCTCTAAAATATCAACTAGCATGACTTATCCATATTTTCCTTAGCTTAATTGCCAGCCAACCATACTTAGCAATTTTGAAGGTGACATCTCTGTTTCCATCCGCAAGCATTTCCTTGAGGAGACTTTTTTGATCTTTCCCTGGGAAACTAGAAATTACTGGTACTAACAATGCCTCCCCGGTCCAGAATGTCGGGGCTCGGCTAGTAGCAGGAGTTCGGACAGAGCGTGCATGACACTCCCGTTCTGCAGACGGTCCATTGGCTGCTCTTGCTCTTTTCTGCGGCACGAAATGGTTCACAAACTCACTTGGATACATGATTTGGGACTTTTCTATAATGCCCTGTTTAGCTTATTGTAAGTGGAATTCTATTTATATCATTCCTGTACCACTTAATGTGCCATGTGAATGCTTATCATTCTACACTGTAGTTCTTTGTGGTGGTTTTGGCCTTCTGAAATCCGAATGCCATGGGCTACTGAACGCCCCATCCTGTTGATGGTGTCGAATCACGCTGTGTAATGCTCCCGGAGGCCCAGCAAGAGAGGCAGACGATAAATAACATCAGCAATAAAGAAATAAAATGTGTTCACGCATGGGCTTTTGAGCTGCGCCCTCAGATAATTCCTGTTTATCATTACAATCCTCACCAGCACTCCCCAGACAGAGCAGGTCGCTGCCCTGCGTTATGCCAGGCCTCCTTATCAAAAGTCTTGGCCTCTGCACATGGAGCAGAGTGTCTTTGGAAGGTGACTCTCTCCAGCTGTTTCTTTAGACAGAAGGAAAGAGCAAGAGTCCAGCAGCGCCTTAAAGACTCACAACATTTGTGGCAGGGGATGAACTTTCGTGAATCACTGCTGCTCACGGAGTAGAGAAAGAGGTACTTTTCTCCCTTTCTCACAATACAAGGACTCGCGGGCACTCCATGAAATTGCTGAGCAGTCGGGTTGGAACAGATAAAAGGAAGTCCTTCTTCACCCAGAGAGTGATTAACATGTGGAATTCACTGCCGCAGGAGGTGGTGGCAGCTACAAGCATGGACTGCTTCAAGAGGGAATTGGATAAGCATATGGAGCAGAGGTCCATCAGTGGCTATTAACCACCAGGTATAGATAGGAAATGGAGCTGCGGTGGCTCAAGTGGTTAAGACGGTGAACTGCAGGCTGTGGAAGGTCAGTAGTTCAGCAGTTCGAGACCCGGGTGCCGCATGATGGAGTGAGCTCCCGTCTCTAGTTCCAGCTCCTGCCAACCTAGCAGTTCGAAAGCAAGAAATTGCAAGTAGATAAATAGGTACCACTTCGGTGGGAAGGTAACAGCATTCCGTGCACCTTGGTGTTTAGTCATGCCGGCCACATGACCACGGAAATGTCTTCGGACAGCGCTGGCTCTTCGGCTTTGAAACGGAGATGAGCACTGCAACCCTAGAGTCGGACTCGACTGGCTTTCGAGCAAGGGAACCTTTACCTTTATAGATAGGATCTCTCCGGCTGGGGCAAGGGATGCTCTGTGACAAAAGCTCCTCCCCTGCCACAAATGTTGTGAGTCTTGAAGGTGCTCCTGGACTCTTGCCCTTGTCTACTGCTACAGACAGGCTAACACATCTTGGTCTGCCTTCAGGCAAGGTTGCTCACAAGGAGGGCCATTTCCTAGCCATTAAGTTCCCCTGAGAAGAGATTTACATTCCTTAAGGAAAAGGCCTTTCCTTTTGTCACAGGCTCTGCCCAGGATTCCTTTGGCATTTATTTGCAAAGGGCTTTTGGATCTTTTTCTTTTTTAAATTAGCGAAGTACTCCACATGACTTCTTTGTGTCTCTTTTCTTCTCAGCACAATCCAGAATCAGCTCCAGCTTGGAAACTTACACTGCTCTCTCTCTCCTGTGAGGAATGCCAAAGCCTCTTCCGTTGTTGCCTCCCCACCGACTGGCATTCACAGGTACGCTGCCTCCGTCCTTGGAGGTTCCACCGAGTCCTCCTGATGGATCCCTCTTCCATGAATTTGTCTAAGGCCACTGAAACAAAGAGAGGCTGTGCAAAGGATAGTAGGGGTGTGTGCGCACGCGCATGTGACAGGCCGTGGTGGTATTTTTCTTTATTTCAATGTTCCCTCTAAGCTTTGGAGTCTTGTGAGCAAAAATTCTACTTTGTGAGCTCCTGGCATTAAAGCTGTGAGCAAGCGATTTGGCTGCTGTATAAATTAGTTTGCTCTGGAGCCCTCCTGCCTGAGCTAAGACAAAAATGTGTGAGCCAGAGGCTATAAAACTGCGAGCTAGCTCACACTCACTCAGCTTAGAGGGAACACTGGTTACAATCATAGATCAGTCACGATTGACACTCATAGTTATCAGCACATTTGCAAACAATAACATTTCCCGGCAGCCTGGGAGGCTGATTTCAATAGTAAGTAAAGGTAAAGGTTCCCTTGCTCGAAAGCCAGTCGAATCCGACTCTAGGGTTGCGGTGCTCATCTCCGTTTCAAAGCTGAAGAGCCAGCGCTGTCCGAAGACGTTTCCGTGGTCATGTGGCCGGCATGACTAACCACCAAGGCGCACGGAACGCTGTTACCTTCCCATCAAAGTGGTACCTATTTATCTACTTGCAATTTCTTGCTTTCGAACTGCTAGGTTGGCAGGAGCTGGAACTAGAGACGGGAGCTCACTCCATCATTAATAAGAAGACTTGACCAGCTGCTTCCTTGTTGATCTTGCTGTGGCGGTACTGTGGGCACTGAGGGGTGGACACAGACTGGGAAGGCCTGAATTCAAATCCCTCAGTCAGCCGTTATTTTGGGTCAGTCTGTGTCAGCCTAACCTACAGGGTTGTTTTGAGGGTACAATGCAGGAGGGGAGAGCCAGGTGTGCTGGTTGGATATTTGAGCTTTCTAGATGTCTAGGTCTTTATCTTTTCTATGGGGGGGGGGGGGGGGGGGGGCTGAGGCAGCATCAGAATGTCACCATTCCCCCCGCCCGCCCCCGGTCTCAGGCACAAAAATATCTGAGCTTGTTCAAAATCTCTAGAGTGCTTTTCAGTATATACCGTTTTTAAAAAATCCTTCCAATGGGTGAGCTGGGTTCGAGTCCAGCAGCGCCTTGTGTGGTGGAATTCCCTGCCACAGGAGGTGGCGGCGGCTACAACCATGGGCGGCTTCAAGAGGGGTTTGGAGAAACATACGGAGCAGAGGTCCATCAGTGGCTCTTAGCCACATACAGATAGGAACTCTCGGTCTGGGGCAAGGGATGCTCTGGTTTCTTGGTGCCTGGGGGGGGCAACAGTGGGAGGGCTCCTAGTGTCCTGGACCTCCTGGTAGCACCTGGTATTTTTGGCCACTGTGTGACACAGAGTGTTGGACTGGATGGGCCACTGGCCTGACCCAACACTGGCTTCTCATATGTTCTTAATATGGAGCAGAGGTCCATCAGTGGCTATTAGACACAAGATATAGATAGGCACTCTCAGTCGGGGGCAAGGGATGCTCTGTATTCTTGGTGCTTGGGGGTGGGGGCAATAGTGGGAGGGCTCCTAGTGTCCTGGCCCCTCTGGTGGACCTCCTGGTAGCACCTGGTATTTTTGGCCACTGTGTGACACAGAGTGTTGGACTAGATGGGCCACTGGCCTGATCCAACACTGGCTTCTCATATGTTCTTAATATGGAGCAGAGGTCCATCAGTGGCTATTAGACACAAGATATAGATAGGCACTCTCAGTCGGGGGCAAGGGATGCTCTGTATTCTTGGTGCTTGGGGGTGGGGGCAATAGTGGGAGGGCTCCTAGTGTCCTGGCCCCTCTGGTGGACCTCCTGGTAGCACC